CTAACTTTAACTTGAGTAAAAGACTAAGAAAGTTCACAATTTTGCAGTAACCCTAAATGCATACCACATAGACAAACAGCCCGACCCAGTTTAATTCATGATGGAAAACCTGTGAATCTAATCATTAAAAATTGACATGTGTTTGATGTTTGTTTTGACAATCTTGCGGAACACAAATACAATGCAATACAAACTTCCACTCACAAAGTTGGCGCACGCCCCTAAAACGGCCTCATCTGTTCGACAGAGCAAGCAACAGGTGGATCACAGCAGAGCGCTTTGGGATGCTTTGGAATCAGCGCGTTACACAAGTCACCACTGCAGCGGCCAAAACTACAGCCGTTACACCTGCATGTTACGACCCTGCCAAGATGAAAAACACTGATTTATGCTAAAGTACAAATGACTATTGCACTGCTACAGACACGTACTGCATTAAGCGACCAAATCCTTTCAATGTTGCTCATTCCATCCGACAGCCGCCTTCCTGCATCTCTGATTAGGGATGCACCGCCACCACGAGTACTTGCTGATACCGATAAGAGTACAGTAATTTGAGTACTTGCTGATACCGATACAAGTACATTAATTTGAGTACTTGCTGATACTGATAAGAGTACAGTAATTTGAGTACTTGCTGATACCGATAAGAGTACAGTAATTTGAGTACTTGCTGATACCGATACAAGTACAGTAATTTGAGTACTTGCTGATACCGATAAGAGTATAGTAATTTGAGTACTTGCTGATACCGATAAGAGTACAGTAATTTGAGTACTTGCTGATACCGATACAAGTACATTAATTTGAGTACTTGCTGATACCGATACAAGTACATTAATTTGAGTACTTGCTGATACCGATAAGAGTACAGTAATTTGAGTACTTGCTGATACCGATACAAGTACATTAATTTGAGTACTTGCTGATACTGATAAGAGTACAGTAATTTGAGTACTTACTGATACCGATAAGAGTACAGTAATTTGAGTACTTGCTGATACCGATACAAGTACATTAATTTGAGTACTTGCTGATACCGATAAGAGTATAGTAATTTGAGTACTTGCTGATACCGATAAGAGTATAGTAATTTGAGTACTTGCTGATACCGATACAAGTACAGTAATTTGAGTACTTGCTGATACCGATAAGAGTATAGTAATTTGAGTACTTGCTGATACCGATAAGAGTACAGTAATTTGAGTACTTGCTGATACCGATACAAGTACATTAATTTGAGTACTTGCTGATACCAATACAAGTACATTAATTTGAGTACTTGCTGATACCGATACAAGTACATTAATTTGAGTACTTGCTGATACCGATAAGAGTACAGTAATTTGAGTACTTGCTGATACCGATACAAGTACATTAATTTGAGTACTTGCTGATACCAATAAGAGTAAATTCATTTGAGTACTTGCTGATACCGATACGAGTACATTAATTAAACTGATAAAACTGACATTTTTTTCTATTTCTCTATACAACAATTAAACATTGTAACTATTTTTGTATCGGGTAACATACAATAAGAGCCACCGTAATATTCCACTCATATAAATGGCACAAAGAAGTAGCTGCCATTTCAATGCACTGAGAAATTGTTAGAGCCCTTATGGCACACATCAAGTTTAAACTTAAATAAATAATATAAAAGCTTCTCCAAAATGTGTTTGTAGAGCTGGTTGTTTTTCTCTCCTGAGCTAGTAAAGGTGTTGTGCTCCGCGTGGTGGTCAGTTTTCAGATGTTTGATCAAGTTGCTGGTGTTATACGTGTTTGTTTTTACAGTCTTACACAACGTACAGTACGCTTTGCTCTTGTCACTTGTTTAATAATAATAATATTAATACTAATAATAATAAGTGTTTATTTGGGCATCTATAATATACAAAATCAATGATACAAAAGAGAAGCATAGAAAAAAACAAATAAATGTTAAATCTTTTATTTAAAAAATTAAACAAGTCCGCTTGCTAACCGCTAGCTTGCTTTCTCATTGCCAACTTTGGGAGATCACCATGGCAACACGTACCGCATATCAGTCTGCTGTTGTGACGGTACTGTAAATAAAAATTGTACCAAATGGGTCCTATAGTAGAAGTACGATTACAAGCGTGTGATATCCACCCAATTGAAGTATCGTATCGGTGAATCCCTAACTGTATCATATCCATATTTCCTTAGTTCTTTAGTAAACAAATCGGTCATGGCTATCAGGTCTGGCCAATGATCAACAGAATGCAACACCTGAGATGAATCATGTCTCTTGGTTTTAACTTGACCCCACTGACCAAGCAGACCTTACATAATGGTTTCTCGCTGCTGCCTTTTCATTAGTAAGAATCCTTCATCATTGTGCGGAGCCAGAGCTGAACAGAGTGTGAATGGGATTAAGTCTTTCTTGGCAGTCGCAAGTAGTTCAAATGACTGCTGGAGATGGAGTTTTTTTAGTCAGTTACAGCAACAGCGGTTTCACAAGTGGCGCACATCTGTTTCTGCCCTCTACAGCCTATTGCCCTTTTTTCAACCCATGTGGCACAGGGTCGAGCCAAACTGCATGAGAATATTTTGTGTGTGTGTGTGTGTGTGTGTGTGCGCAAAGACAAAAGGAGCATGGGCCGGTGTCAGTTGGCCAGTGTGGACACATGTAACCAGATGCTGCTTTCATGGAACTGACCTCAGCGGGTTTTTCCACCACCGCACACTCACATGCAGTGGTGGAGTGCACAGAGTGGGCACATGGAGCATGGAGGGCTCAGCCTGGTACCGTTCACACACTCATGCTCATTGTAATCCTACACACGGTGATCAAGCGCTGGAGAATGCAGGTCTAATCTGAGACTCAAAGACACAGGCGGATAACTTTAGAAGGGTTGATCTCACTACATTTATGTAATAAGTCAATAGGTTGCATTCATGTGACATTCTAAACAGATTATAGTTATGGTGGAGGCAGCTGAAAAAACTTTTATTGGTAACTATGGTAAGTGTCACGGGTAATTTTAAAGCTAATGTATCTGTAATTCCTGGGCTAATCCACACAAAACATCTTCTTTGTCAGTACATATAACTATGGTCTAATTATTATCTCATAGAAAAGTGGTGGTAATATTTAAAAACATAAAAATAAACAAAAACATAAACATATAGTTTTTTATGGGTTTTTTTTCTTTCTATAATCACTATCTAATGATGATCTGGGGAAACATTTGTCCATTTACTTTTTCACCTGCTCTATAATTGAAATAACATTCTACAACATGAACGCAAAGTTTTGGTGCATTGGTACAGTTTCTTTATAAAAAATGTATGTTTGCTTCATCTTCACTTTGGAGGTGAGAATAATTTACTAAAGGTCAGATTGTGAAACAGACGGCCGCAGTGAAGGAGTGTTTGTGTCTTTCAAAGGGGAAAACAAATGTGGAATAGAGTGTGGAAGTTTGTTTTGCAAACTGGGCTTAAGGTAAGATGTTAGCAAACATTTACACACTTGACACTATTATGCTCTTGGGAGATGTTGACCACATTTTTACCACTAGGTTTCAGAAGTGTGAAAAATGTAACATCTTTCATGTTTAGCTAAACCTGTTTAACTACAGTCTCAAAGGCTAGCTTTGATTGCTTTGTAGTCTTTGAATGGGGGCAGGTTTTAAGTCACTGCTTTTGATGATACATTAAAGACCTTATGACGGGTTTTTAAAAAAAAAGTAGTGGATATCAAAATTGCATGACAATGTAAATTTGAAAGAGATTCCGGCAAAAAAAATCCTATATTTTATAAAAAGAACGTGTTTTTCATGAATTTAAGTTGTCTATGCTCTAACCTGTGTGTGACGTCATAGCGGGTTACGCCCATGCATTGAAAACCATGGATCTATGCCACAGGACTGCCTTTTCTCTCTTCTCTCCACTGATGCCCAACTCAATACTGCACTCTACAGGTGACAATTGCTCACTACACATAAATTGCCGTTTTGAGTGTGAAAAAGTGTCCGAGGTGGGATTTGAACCCCAGTATCTGGATTGGGAGTCCATTGACACAACCACTGGACTATCTCAGTGACAACAAAATGTGACATTCTAGTAGTTATGTTAGACTCGCTGTACACGGCCTTGTCATCTTGAATATCCGCGAAAAAAGAACGAATACCAAATTGTAAACAACTTACAGCGTTGAAACGTACCCGTTCTGACGTCATCAAGGGCTGTGAAGTTTTTTCGTTTCTAAGGGCGTTGCTATGGGGTTATTTCGATTTGGGGGGATCAGACAAAAAAAACAACAACTGATTTTAAAACCTTTAGTAGTTCTCTTCTAATATAAAATGGTATTAAAACTGTATTTCTAAATAAATCAAACCCGTCATAAGGTCTTTAATGAACTGCAAGAAATAACTTCCATTGACTTTACTAAACTTTTTCATTTGATTTCAAGGGGATGATAATGTTGATAACTGACAATGCACACAATGCACATAGAGAGGTTAATTGTTTGAATGAATTACAATAATCACTGCAGAATGGTTGCCAAATTGCATAACCTAATCTTCCTTCCCATCATTAGCAGACAAAACACAAAACATGTGAGTTCTTTGCTTCACATATCTCTGTCACTTAATTAACAGACACGACCTGGGGCAGAAAGCACATCAGACGAACCACATCTTTCCAAAGAGGCCCACACCTGCTCTGCACTTTACTGCTTTACTTTTGGAAAATCAAACCACTTACATCACTGGCTGGAAAAATGCTGTCAACCCAACAGAGAGCAGAGCCTGTGTGTCATATGTGTACGCTGTAGAAAAAAAGTAGGGTTGTAAAAAAAAAACAAAAGGACAAGATGAAGCCTTCCTGCCTGCGTCGCAAACTGCAGCGGACTAGCAACATTTTTCCACATCGAGCGTACGAACTGTCATGTTAACAACCCGAGTGCGACTTTTACTGCCAGACGAGCACACATCAGCTCATTAAAACAGTCGATTAAAGAGACGTACCTTTTGATGTATGGAATATGACGTCCTCGTGGTTTATCGTTATGAAGCTTTTGACAACGTGGAGTCCATCTGTTGAACAAAACAAAACACATTGGGCTTTTTATTAACTTTTCATGATTGACCTCCCCTGCCACAGCTGATTAAGTCACACACATTTGTTACTCACACAACTCGGGTTGCAAGATTAGTCGCAATTGAATTGAAACTGCCCTTTGACAAGTGGTAATTAACAAATTGCAGTGCTTGTCTAAATGCGGTTTCGATTATTAAAGTCCTGATACCTCTGTGTTGAGATAAATGTGTATTTTGCAAAGTAAATTCAATTCTTCGACTTACATGTATACAAATTTGACCTTAAAACAGCTAAATTAGTTACTACATGTTCTGAAATATATAACATTGTATTGTTACTTTGACAATCATTTTCCAAGTGCCGGAGTGATTTACTAAGTCCACACTGTACAAAACTAAATCTAATCATAACCAGTATCATCCATAATATCAAAAATCGCAATTAGACATTTTGCTTAAATTGTGCAGCCCAAAACGTGTTGCTTTATGGAGCATTTCACCTGCGTTTGACACCATACTTCAGAACATCCTCCAAAATGTTTTGACTATTACCAAAATAAACAACATTTTCATGGGAGCAAGCAGGGGTTCTCCTCCAGGACTAGTCAGGTTTGTGGAGATGCAAGCCCACACAGTCAGTCAGGCCACGTTTAATCTTCTAAAAATCTTCAGAGCAACCCAAAGATAATGTATTGATTAAAAAATATATATATTAAAACATTTTGTGTGTCTATTTTCGGGCTTTTAAGTTACACACCCCATGCAAAATTACACCACACTGGCTTATGACACTTTCCTTATTTCAACTTACCAAAACCACAATCACTGTATTGTATAAGCATGCCAAAGTACAAGACAATAGATAAGTTAAAAAACAGTTTTCAAAAGCTAACACACACACACACATAGATGATGGGATGTTTCATGGGACGTTCTTACTATGTTGTGACCACTGTTATTGCCCATGAATATTAACTATAAATGTGTATGTTGGTATCTACAAATGCAAGTATGGTCCCACCTTACACATCGCAAAAATGATTACATCTGCAGATTTACCCTGCTCTCCTGAAGAAATGACTGTATTTCCCCGCTTGCATATGACATAATTAAATAGCGATTCATAAACACGTTGTTATCACAGCGTAAGCAACTAGCATCACGGCTGTACGGGGCAGCACGCGCTCTCTGCTATTGGTCAGCTGCCTCACGAGCGCACAATGCAATTAAGAGAGGAGATAAACGGCGAAAACACCTGTGCAGGAAGTTCATTCTTTACCCAACAAACAGACTAATAAACAAACATGGCGCATTCCCCTGTTTATTCTGCATTCATAACTCCCATACTTCTCAAAGCTGCGAACCCGTACCTCGTGAAGCAGTCTCCAGTAAAACTTTCAAGCTCCAAAAACGCGCAGAAATATCGGCATAATCCGGATCGTTCGTCTGAGAAAAGTCACACAAGCAGCGTACAAAAGGAGGAGGGAAAGAAGCAAGCGCTGATCTGATCTCAGTCAAGTTCCACAAGCGAGAAAAGAAGAAGTCGGTCCCTCCCCGCGTCCTGCCTTCCCCTGCTCTCAACTACAACCTCCCGCTGACACAAATAACAGCGAGAGCAAAAGCGAGCGAGGCGGGACAGACCAAAAATAGACTTGACTTTTGCAGACCTGCGCGTCTATTGTTTGGCCGCGCTGCCTGACACTCTCTACACTGGGAAAAAAAATATATGAAAATAAGTGAAATACTGCTTGAGAAAACGTATCTGCAAAGAGAACAAGAAAATAAGCATTGACAAGATTTTTGAAAATAAGTAAATAATGCTAGCCCCAAATTATTTGATTCTAGAAAAAAAACAATTGCATGACGTGTTTTCTTAAATTATAGCATAACAAGCTTATTTTATCCAAACAAGAAAAGTTTAACAATATACCTTTTATACCTTTTAACAAGCATTAAACTCACTGCTCAGACTTTTTTCTCTTAGATTATAAAATATTATCTTAAAACTAGTTACATTATCTTACATGACAAACTGCCTTCAAGCTAAACATAAGAAAAACCTGCCATTAAAAAATAAGCATAACAATAATAATTTTGTTTTTTGTAAATAAATCTTACCGAGATATACATTTTTTTCAGTGTATTAGAGGCGCGTTGCAGCCAATCAGCGTGAGTGAATGACTGCTCGGTGATAAACTACCCTTGTGTTGAAGTTGAAGAATGGGGCAGTTAGAGGTGGCTCCATCTGCTGTTGTAACGCGGGCACAGGCACTCAAGGAATGCTTGGGACATAGACCGAGCTAATTAGTGCATGCGTTAAAGCTGGGGTACCTAACTTTATTTTTATTTATTTATTAATTTATTTTTATTTAGAAGGCATAAAACAAGATCAGACATAAAAGACCAGACAAAACAACGGATAAAATCAAAGACAAAAACAAAAATAAAATAAAATAGATAGAGATGGATCACAGACTTAAAACAAATCAGACAAAATCAAAGCCATAAAACAGAACAAGATTAATCATTATACTTGTTTGTGACCATCACTGCTATTAAGAAAAAGAATCAAGAGCCTGTCCTCACTACAGAAGAGAGCCACAGCCCCGGATACCGAACTTTATAACAACAACATTTTACTATGTCATAAAAATAAATGAAACTCCAATGCCTTGCTCTCAAAATGGGTTGGTTCCATCACACTATATAGTCACAAGCACCTCTATCACTTTAGAGAAGCGTTTTCAAACAAGAAAGTGAAAAAAGACAGGGCCACTCTTGCTTATAGCCAATCAGCTCAAAGCGACAGAGACAATTTAGGTTAAGTTTGCAAAAGATAACATGTTTTCTCTGAAGACAGCATTGCATTCTGATTTGTTTACATTTTATTTGGTTTCTTTCTGTCTTGGGAAAAAAATAAAGGTTTTATACATTAAACAAACAAGTAGTTGGTTGTCTTCCAAATTTGACACAATATCAAGTGACATTCAGTTACAATGGGAGTTTTCCATTGTGTACTGTAACTGTTATCACTACTAAGCGTTGACATGGTGCTAACACAGCTGCGTACTTACCAACAAAGTACCCTGCTAAATCTCACCTACCCTGATCAAGGTGTCTGTGTTTGTCCAATTCAAATTAATTGCGAAAACGGAACAGTTGGTATTTAGGCAGATTATCTCAGCAATACATTTAAATAGAGGAGATGGTCAAACATGAATTAATCACTGGTTATAAATTTAGTCTGAGAGTCAAGCGTTAACCCAAATTCATCCATTCATATACAGTATTGTCATGTATAAACAGGTCACTCCAACATCAGAACCAGTCCAAGTCAAGCAAACAGAACATACCTGAAATGCTTTTCATATCAGGCTACAACTTGCTCATAAAAGGACATAATATCCCACTGGTCGCTTCAGAACGTTCCCTATACTTGTGTTGTTATGATGCCGTGTGCTTCCAGGTGTATATTTACTCCTTTTAACCGCATGTTATGAATTAGAACACCCATTTGCTACATTTCTAACCGTGACAGTTTTGCACAAGGCATTTCGGCCCCATGTATAGAAGGAAGTCAGGCATCCTGTGTGTGTAAATCACGCTCAATTGCACAGTAGATAATAGAGAGCGAGCCCGAGTGACGCACAGCAACGGCCCTTTTCTCTGGTGATCCACATATTTCCTTTGCATCGACAGGCTGTTTACTGTTTACAAGCTCTCACAGGCTGACATTCTTCAGGCGGCACATGACAGACAGCATGACTCTGGTCGACACTTTCCACCCAAAAACAACTTCTTTCAAACTATTTTTCATCCAAAAGTAAATGGCAAAAACTATCAATGATTTGTTTGAAGAAATGTGGATCAGGATCAATGCATAGAAATATAATATTAAATGCATTGGTTTGATATAGCGCTTTTTTGGACACTCAAAGACGCTTCATATGTCATTTTTCACTCCATTCACAGTGGTTATAAAGTACTTTAGCAGTAATTGCCCGAGTAATACCAAAGTGAGACGGACTAGACGCCCCCCCGCTATTGATATTTTCTGATTTTTTTGGGTCGTCTGCATTTGAAATCATTACCAAAACCTCAAAGCGTGTGTCATTGTGCAAACAGTTGCTGGAGGATCCTGTCGTGGCTCTGTGTGTCTCAGTCTACAGGGGGAACCCAATGCCTTTCCCAGAAGCCTTTGCAGGTGAGTGGGTGTGCAGGTCGACTCAGGGATGTATGTGAACTGGAGAGTGTTCTGTTGTGTGCTGTTAGTCCACCCAATTACACAACCAGTGTGTTGCCTGAATCACATCCGGTTTTGAGCTGAAAATAACCAAACCACAGGGTGACAGAGAAGCAGCAGAAGCAGCAGCAGCAGCAGCAGCAGAAGCAAACGCCTACTGGGAGCCTCCAAGACACAAACACTGGTCACTTTTAGAGCCGCAAGCACCACAGACCCAAAGCCAAAACTTTTAAGATTTCTTTTACGTTTGCAGACAAAGTTAATGCATCTTAAATCCAGTTCTAAAAATCTTAATGATGCAATCCAATGGCCGTTAATGCCACAAATTTGAACAAATACTGGACAGTAGCAAATGCTTTCTGTCCAGCTATATGTTTACGTTACCTGAAGTGGCATGTATATTATTAAACTGTGAATTCAGGGCACATTCTATACAGTGACCTGGCTTCCCACAAATGTTTCTCTATCCCTCTTTCTTTTCTTATTTCTCTGTTATTGGAATTGATGTCAGTTGATCACTATCACCTAGTCCTAGTGTGTCTGTTTCACATTAACGTATCTGAAATTACTCTAAAGGGTTAATCTGAAATGTCCTTGTCATCCATCCATCATAGCGGGGTCTCTGTGAGCCTGCATCGTATCCAGATATCTGATTTTCAAACGTGCCAAAGACATGTAAACACAATCTAATCTATTAGGGCTTTCTTTTGGTACTTGACCTACCATGGCAAAGATTTAAAAGCAGATTTGAAATGGGTAACTTCCTCACTCTCAAAACAGTTTGGTTCTATCCCTAGTTCAGCTTTTTCAAAGTTAAAAAGGGAGAATCTGGTCTGAGAAAGGCGCAGTATAAACAAAGATTACTCACTTACTTACTTTGAATCACTCTTGCTGATTTAGCTCAATAATAATAATAACAAGAAAACAGAATTTTGTGGTCTGATTTGTCTGATTTGTCTTTCTTTTTTCCAGATCGAGCGAACAGAACATACCAAGAAAACAAAAATAATAAAAAACATCAAGAATTATTTATAAATTCACACTGAAGGACTTTGTACAACCACAAATCATTTTAGCCGGACATATATTCAAATCTGCATGTAAACCAAAAATCCTGTGTGTTTTTAAAATTCAAACCAAATTGTATCTGCAAAGTTTATCTGGAAAAAATACTGCCACAACAACTACAAACTTGCCACCAATATAAAGTTTTGCTTTTACGATTCTAAGCAGCTCTCGGAACAGCTCAGCAACTGTGATAATATGTTCACCATTTCAGCAGAAGTGGTGTAAAAATAGCGCTGCATTGCATTTGTCAGTGCGCTACAGGATGTGGTCACTCACCTAAGTCTCTCACCTGCAGAGACGCGAGCAGGAGTCATATCAAGACCAAATCTAGAAGGTTCTGTGCAAAAACCTCTTCATTTCCACCATTCCTCTCTTTAGACTGCAGCCCGTTCACACACGCATGAATCACGCACTATCCCAGACTAATTAAAGGACAGTACATTGAGAAATGACGCAAATGATGTCACTGACAGTAAAAGGGAGGATGCAGACGGCAACACCCAATGTACTGTGAACAAAAGGTGAATATTATGTTATTAATACGGCCTCATTGAACTGTGAGTTATGGTGGAGATTTGGACAAAGAACGCGGTTGCTAGGTGGCGGTACAGTATCAATGCAATTAATTTGACACAAAAATGGGAGAAGGAAAATAATGGATAATTTTAATGGCTGTGTACTCAGACCTAGAGGAAAACACAAATTGGTCTTGGATTTTGGCCAAGGTTTAGTTATCTGTTATTGAAACACAGAATTTACATATAATTTCCCTCTGATTCTGCAATAATAAGGCAGAAATCATATGCTCATATCACAATGACTAAGTTATTACATCAACGTGAATGAGACGGTTAAACTGTTTAAATTATGCATTTAATTGTGGACAAACTTGTGATGTCATTTCATCATATCTTTCTCATTAAATCTGTTTGAGGAGAACGTTTGCTTTGCCGCTTGGAATCAAATCTCTGGCTACATGGAGAACAAGTAATTATGCTACATACATGTAAGGCATATAAATGTAAAGAATATTAAATGAAATATGATAAGGAAATAATTTGATTTATGTATGCATTTATTGTATTGCAGTGGTAGGGGAAACCGGAGCACCCAGAGGAAACCTATGCTGACACGGTGAACATGCAAACTCAGGCAACACTTACGGTTAATTAAAAATGATCATAGATTGGTCTGAGAACAGGGGATGCACCGTTCTGCTCTTGCAAATCAACAAATTGTGTCAAATCTTTTGGGATGACGCAGCTATAATTTTGGGCAGCACGGTGGCTGAATGGTTAGCACTCTCGCTTCTCAACAAGCTCCGGTTCCCTCTGGGTGCTCCGGTTTCCCCTACTACTAAAAACATAGATAGATCTGGCAGCGCCTCCTGTAGGTGACTGCTCCGTCTCTGTGTAGAGTGAGTGGCTCTGGTCTGTGAAAGGCGATATATAAATAATCTTTAATCACTTATTTTTGGATGTACAGGGATACATTTGATTTGATAAATAGCTCATAATCTTCTGCTGCTAACGTCTTTAACCAAAAACAAAAAATGGCCCTTAAGTTTTGATCATAATGCCCACATTTGAATTGAGTTGGTTTTGATATGGATATATTGATAAACCTATAGATATTGCCTGTGTATTTAGACATATTTACATCTTAACAATCAAAAACAAGAGAAGAGGGGTATTGCAAATGAAGAACTCTTTGAATTTCAGCGACCAGGCTGAGGATAAAGGGCAGAGAGGTGAGGAGAAATACTGAGTGCACTGTAATAATGTTTGGCCGCGCTCTGCCAGCGGGGTCCTTTCCTTTAAGAAGCACTGGGGAATGTGCGGAATGCAGAGAAGAGATGAAAAGGAAGGAGGGAGAAGAGAGACGAGGGCTGAGGCTGGGAACAGAGCGCAGAAATGTGAGCTGCAGACACTCAA